AATATCAAATTTCAGCAGTAAATAATATAAACCACTATACCTCCAGGCACTCTGAAACTTTTTATTACTGCTGCCATTTTTATTACAGTTCCATGCAGATAGTTGTGTTTATTAGATTTTATCGGACAGAGATGGAATGTCACTGATATAACGAAACAAGGGGTTTCTTTCTTTCTTTTTATTACTTTTTATTGTGTTTACTTTTCTTGCCAGTATTTGAGACTTGATAGAATAGCTGTGAAATTTAAAAATAATACATAAAATTTATCTTTTGAGAAGTCAGTTGAATGGGAAATCAAAGTGCTTATGTTCTCTGTAAAAATATAATTGACCTTAAAGTATATTGTCTCAAAGTTTGCACCTGCTGCATGTTCAAACTGCTTAGTTATATTTTGGGGTCTTGTTCCACTGTCCCGCATCTGGGGACGCCAAGGAACTGTTCAGCACAGCGCGAGCATATCATTAGATGCTGTGCAGTACGCTTCAGCAGCACTCCCTCTATGGTCCGGAAGGCTTGGGGCTGTCCAGGTGTCCAGGAAGTCTGTTGCTTTTCTGGAGGTCCACCCATTATGATCATGTTGCTGGCAATGCCCCCTAGAGCACCGATCGCAATTCCCCTGTCCAGGTAGTTGGGAGGCTTAACATCATCAGATTGACTGTTTGACAAAGATCAAATTCCTGGTGGTCAATAAAAATATGTAAAAGCAAGAAAAGATGAGGGGATGGGTCTGCGCCAATGTGTACGCTGAGTATTGAGTCCAATAGGATCTATGTTATCGTGTCCAAAGTTCTACTTTTGGTGGTATCCAGAAGGTATCGATGTCGTGGAGAGTAATCCAAATATGTAAAAATAGAAGAGATCTTACTTACAATTTGCAGAGCTTAATCCAGCTCTGGTGTGGATAGCTTAGAGCGGTATTATCCCCGCTTACAGGATATACGGCAGGTGTCCTCTTCTTTGTAGTAACGGGTGGCCAAAGTTGGAAAAAAATAAAATAAAAACAGTAATGGTGAAGTATGTTCTACACTTATATAAAAAAATATAAAATACGATAGATACACTCACATTCGGTAGAGCTTTGACTAGCTCTAGTTGGTTAGGCGTACAGCGGTATCATCCCCGCTTATAGGATATATGATGAGTGATCTTGACCGGAATATCAGGAGCTCGGAAAGAAGGTAAAACAACAATAGTGCTCTCAATAAAATCTTAATGATAAAATAAAATAATAAAATATACTCACAATGTATAGGGCAGACTAACTGCTCTATGTAACAGCGTAGGTGGTATGATCCCCACCTAGGATTCTTGGAGTATAATATGCAGGACTTAAAAAATAATAAAAGAAGTATATAATATAAAATGTATATAAAACGTTTATAAAATAGCCAGGTAATAAAAAAGATGATGGTTTAAACGTAAAAATGACCAAAATCTTTTTATTAGCAATATATAAAACAGTAAAAAATATCCAAACGCGTTTCGCCAGTATAAGGCTTTATCAATGGATAACAAACCATAAAATAAAAATATGTGTGTGAATATAATTAGTGGAATTTGCTCTTTCATTATTCTTTTCAGGAATCCGCAAGTATCCCCTGCTTTGTAGACTGCATAGGGCAATGACTGATGATGTCACCACACTGTGCAAGGAGTGAAGCATGAAAGACCAATGAGACGAACTGTCGGATTCAAACCAAAGGTACATGTATATAACTGAAGGATCCTGACAAATATAAAGGGTTTTTCTCATTTCATTTTTTCACATGTAATTCATTTTAAAAAACATGTTTAATTTTAATTCTTGATGAGAGAATTATAATAAAAAATATTTTCGAGGCAAGCGCTATCCTTTAACAGAGCAGGAGATGATAAATTCTAAATTAACACACAGTGCAGTAAGGGAAGCTAAAAGTGTAAAGTCTTCTTTCAGGAAGTGCGTAGGAAGGCTGTGTCAGCCATAGCCAAGGGAACACCTCCCTTGGCTATGGCTGACACAGCCTTCCTACGCACTTCCTGAAAGAAGACTTTACACTTTTAGCCAGGGCTGCATAAACAAAGTGATTAAACTCCTAAATGCCAGAGAATTGAGCAGTGAGACTGCAGGGTCTTGATCTACACACCAAAACTGCTTCATTATGATAAAGTTGTCTTGGTGACTATAGTGTCCCTTTAATTATAAAAAACAAAAAAAAACAAAGTTGAATATTGGATTTAATGCCATCAACATTTCAGTCTAAAGATAAGACATTTTGCCATGATCATATTTTGCGTTTTGCTTGCTCCATTCATGAATATAATAAAAGTTTTATTATTTTTATTACAATTCTATTACATTATTTTGTTTAGGTACTTTCACTGACAAAATTTATATATATAAAAAGAAATTATTAAATATATAGATAAGTAAAAAATATATATAGATATAAAACTGAAAAAAATTATTTCTAAATTGTGTCCATTACTTAGATTAGATAAGAACCTAAATAAGATACTATCTATCAAATAGTAGTTGATTTCTTTTCAAGGAGCCATGAATGTGGTTAAAAAAAAAAGAAAAGTGTTTTTTGGTTTTTTTTTCAATGCAGATCTTTTTTTGGCTGTAGGACCAGTAAATCTAAAGGATAAGAGAGTAATTAAAAATTTTACATCCACAGTTACAGGAAATAAATGTGAAATTAAAGTTCAAATAACGTGCTCTAGTAATAATATACCTATTGATTTATCACTGCAGTTATCCATGGAATAAAACACGATAGTAGATTTTCTGAGGTTTGCAACTCAGATAAACCCTGCTTTTTTTCTTATTATTTTTTTTATTCCAATATACTCAGCATATGTGCCATAATAAATAGTTTTACCTGCATGAATAGACCAGATGATTATGGATGGATGATTATCCTTCCATGTGAGAATTGTGGGAGTTTGGATCCAACACACACTATGGATCTGATCCTTCCGAGGTGTTATAGTGTTAAACCACTCTCTCTTTGTGAGTGACATTCGTTTGGAGGGTCTTGGATAATACTATCGAATTTGATTGGTCTGCACTATGTATATTTTAAAATAGGTTATATTAAAGTAAATACATTTGATGGTTATATTAAAGCAAAGAAGTACAACTGGATGGCATAAGTATTTTTAATAATATTTACGCAACTTTTTATAAAGATTTTATTGTGGTGTTTTCCTAAAACACAGGTTTTTGGTTGGAATAACTCTTTAAGATGAAAGACACTTTTGGTTTGCAGTCTGTCTTATTTATTATAAGCACCCCTTAAATAAGGCTAAGTCTGAATCCCCCAATCTATAGGAGAAATGTGTCCACACAGGGTATCGATTGGTTAGTAAGAGAGAGAGCTCTGTGCTAAAAATCACAAGGACTGTAATCTCAATAAGTGTCCTTGTTTTGGATCAAAGAAAAACTTTGATTATTTGTCTATCTACACCTTCCAAATTGATTAATTAATGCGTGCACGCTTTCCCTAGAAGTAATTCACACCGGAGACAAAGTTTCTGATCAGTGAAAAACCCAGGAATGCTTTATTCCCCGGAGTGGGGGCTCCTTCTTAAAGCAAAAATACGTCACAGTGTAAACATACAGTATACATTCACCAATTGGTTAACAGAGAAAGGGGGCTCTTGTTTAAACCCCCCTACAGAATGTAGTGTCATCATTACAGACTTTTGGATACACGATGGGAGGGGGAGTGAGTGGTATCTATCAGTTCTAAACCAATGATCCTCCATTTAGCTATATATGGCATATAGCTGTTAACTGGCACAAAGGTAGTGGGGGAGGGGAGGCTAGCAGGATGTGAGGAATTTACATAGTAAACAGCAGCTGACCACATTGTAGGGGGGGGAAGGGAATATTTACTCTAGAAGCCAGTTTTAACATAGTGAACAGAGAATAAATAGACATTAGTAAATAGCCATTTTATTTTAATTCATCTGTCCATAACAGTCCCCCCTTAAAATGGCAATTTTTACTAAAACTACTATCTCTCATTCTAATACTGTCCCTATAGAAAAATAACAAAAGGCTATCTTGCACATCTGTCTGAACAGGCCTCGAACACTTCACCACGCGGGTACCCCATAGCAGCTTGTCCACTACTTCTCCCGCGGCAGACTTCTGCCCGTAGAGACAGACGCTATCCCTAAATGTCCTTAAGAGGAAGTAGCTGTTGATTTAGTGCGGTGGGACTGTAAGGGTGTATGTGGTGTATCACGGTCGATGTCGTCAATCTCTTGGTGAAGGAAGGTCGGGGTGGTCTTGTCGATTGTCTGATCAACTGTCTTTTGTAGGCATTTCTTAAGACAGGGTAACACCTTGCCATCCAGTCATCCATCCAAACCATCTTTCCCATGGATCTGCGTCCCCAGAATTTCGTTTCAGCTCGTTGGACAAACTCTTTAACTTTTCTATTGCCAACGTTACCTTACCATTAGGGCCTGTATTATCTGGAATATAGGTACAGCATGTCATGGTGTCTGGGAGTATTTTACATACTCTCCCTTTTTCTGCTAAAATCATTTCCAAGCTTATTCTATTCTGGAAGGTCATCTGAGAGATAGTTTGTAACCGCCCTATCCCACCATATATCCCATAACAAGTATAGTTCCCGGGCTATATAGTAATGCCTTCGTCTGGGTTAATATTTTTAGTAATGATTGGGTATTAAGTTTCCATGACTCGCATGCTGACCGCTTAGGTTTAAATACAGTGTAGAGACTTAAAACGCATACTTCATATCCGGAGGAAGGTTCAGGGATACTGTACCTGGGTGAGGCCTCGCTCCTCTGCAGACATAGCAGTTAGACTTGTTATGTTTAGTAGCATTGTATTTCATCCATTCAAGTCACAAGTTAGTGTCAGAGAAACCTGTCTCTACAGCCCTCTTATCCTCAAATATGGGATGACTACCATGTCTTTTAAAGTCCTAATGTGTGGTTTGAGGGGATTAACAGTCATGTGCGTGGCACCTACCCATTCAGCTGAGTCATACATGTCCTGTAAGAAAAAGGTCTCCTGTTTATTGTATAAACCTCTTCCCTTCCAATTCAGATTTTATTAGCCGTAATGCTTGGGAGAATAGATTCAAACTTAGTTTCTTACCTTAAAATTATTTGGTACCCCCCTTGACACCCCTATGGCATTAATATACATATATATGTATGTGTGGGTAAAACCACCCTTTATAGGGGTACTCCTTTTTTGTCCTGAAGCATGAATGAGGTGTGTCAAGAGTACCTTGGGGATTGTCATGTGTTATGTGTATGGACATAATAACCTAGGCTAGGGCACATTTACTTATTCTTAGAAATCTTGTCTCATGCTACCCTAGTACTGGCAGATTCAGATCATTTAAACATTCAATATTAATATCACCACAAACTCAAGATAAGCAGATGATCTTGAAGAAGCTTTGACTGTGCGTATGGCACCTCAGACGTGAGGGCTGCAGGGTAAGGAGTATGTTTGTTTCTCTTTAGTTTCACGAGGTCCCCTTTTGGGGTATTCAGCTTTCCATCGATGGCAGGTGGTCAGGCATTATTATGGCCATCAAAACACCCACTTGTTGATATTTATTTATTTATTTTCAACAAGTATCTTTGTTCTCTAAGAATGGAGTTTCAAAAAGGGTTGTCAAGATCAACAAATGTTACTTCACATGATGCAGAGGCAGGCTTGATTCTGGAATGATGAACCCACGGGGTGATCTCTGTATCTTTCACGGTGCACTACTCAGCATGTGGTCTTGGTTATCACTTTGGTGGCTGGATAGGCCTCTGGCCATCCTGAAAACATGTCTGCTATAATTAGTGCATATTTGAATCAGCCATTCTTTGGCATTCTGGCGACTTGACTCCTCTGGAAGAGATAATGAGGTTTGGCTAGATGCTTGGGGCTTTCATCCATTCTTCTTGAGTTGCCCTTGGCACAAATGGCACAAGATTTACAGTAACTGTTGGTCAGAGAGGCAATTCCTGGTACTTCAGAGTATTTATTGATCAAAAGAGTTCATGAGGGTTCTGGACAGATGCTCCGTAGGCCCACTGGACCACTGCTGAGTATATGTTCTTGGGCAAGTATAACTTGAGATTGTTGAAGTACAGCCTGTCTTTAAGAGTTGCCCCTTTCTGTTTCCAGCTTGTGGTTTGTTTGTTTTTTTTCTTTCTTTCCAGGGTCAGTAGCTTGCTTGTTATTCCTTCGGGAGCTTGATGTCTGTGGGTAGGATCTTACATGGTGAATATGGGAGTTTCTTCAGCAGACACTTTTCTGTCCACTTCCCTTAGTGCACTTACAACTTTTTGAACAACTTAGTCAGCCAGAGAGCTGCCACATGCTTCCTCTGAGTTCAGTCTTCCTTCAGAGATCTTGCATGGTGTGATGGGAGTCTATAGCTCAGCTTCTTGTGCAGACATTGTTGAGGTGAGATACTTGGTCCACTGTAGTGACAGCAAATCCGGAACAGAACATAAGAAAAAGGCTAAAAAAATAATAATAGTCAGTGTCTTATCATTTCCCCCCTTGGGAAGTGGCAGAAGAGTGGCCAGGTAAATAGAGTATCATCCCTGCAGGGTGACATTATCCTGCACAGAATTCGTCCATCACAAGGAGAGGTGGGATATTGCATGGAAAGTCTCAGGTAACCAGGGCAACATTTGACACCAGAGCCTTAACCTGTTAGGGAATAGTAAGAGCTTGGACAGGCTTTGGGGCCTGTATAATTCAGGTAAAGGTATTGGGGGAACTAGCTAGGACCCTTGCCTCTTGGTCAGGTTTCACTGTGTGGAACAAAATAAATAATAAGGTGATAGGGGCCTGCAAGTGGGGGAAGGACATCTGCACTAGCAGATTAATTGGACAGGTGAAGGTATCCACAAAGCAAGGCTTAGTTAACAGGCTACTCCAAGGAGAGCCATCTACACTTATGCAGGAGACAACAATGTTAGACAGGAATGAGGAGTCAGGCAGGCCTTGCTTGGTACAAATAGATGTCATGTGGCCTGCTATACAAGGCTGCATATAGTTATTGGGCATGGGCCTTACTATGTACTAAAACTTAAGTTAAAAGAAAATTTGGGACAACCTGAAGTGATGCTTCTCCACAGATGCTAACTCATCGTTGATGACATTGTTAATACAGGTAGCCTGATCAGCCAATTTATCTTAGGCTTAAACAAGTCACACCATGTAGTGGAATGGGTCATTAGGATTCGGGAAATTCTACAGTAAAAGGGCATAGTAAGGATGTACGTGATGTTACTTTAGGAGTAGGCGTGGCTGTGGATAGGGGGAAATCAGCCTTATCCATTCCCATATATTATTCCTTTTGTCTTCAGTATATCCAAACCATGTGTATGTCCAGGCGTTGCAATATACATTAATCCATTATCAGTCATGATATTAAAATCTCATTCTCATGAATTAAATCAAAGATTTTAAATCAACCTCAGAAGCAACAAAGAATAAATCTATTGTTTTTTCTTCTGTAAAATGATTGGAGTTACTATATAATTGCATACACCCAATATAACATTGCATGTTCCTCACTGCTACATTAGTGTATTTCATTCTGCCATATGTGCAAACTTGATTTAAATTTTTATTTTAATTAACCTAATACTTTCTTATAACACATATAAAAACAATGAAAGACAGTACAGACTAACAATTCATTTAAAACAATAAACTGACATAGATCTCTATTCTTGTGCTGTTCTTAATTCTGGAATCAGCCTGTGTACATCTGTTGGCAGACATATCCATGCTCATTCCCTAAACTGATCAAATCTCTTGAAGTTATCTGATTCTTATAACTTTCTGTGTTATGCTGCATTGCTTGTCTGTCCCCTAATTTCCATATATTATTTTATCATTGTCCTGAAATTTTACAAGCGTGGTCAGTCTACATGCCATTTGAGTCGGCAGCCATATTTTAAACAATCTATTCCTTTGTTCGTCATTTAGGCTGTATTTGTCCACATTTGACTCAAACATTCCAGCATTAGTAAATGCATCCACTGACGTGTCATAAACTGGAATACATTTCACAATTTTCATTAATTGTTCATGTATTTTCAAATTAAGTTTTGCAGCTCTGTCTTGAAATTTATATTTTCTGCAAATCACTCTGTGAGGATACATTTTCAGTATCTATTGGTTCTGGGATTAGATTCTGTGTCTGTATTTTTCTTGTATTAACACACACTTGCTTAACTTCATTTCTAAGCTGGCAAATAAGATCACTTCTTAGTTCAACTCTATCCTGTAATTCACAGACTGTTTCTGACTGTTTACAGCATGTGTGCTCTCTGTTACATTGTTACACTGTTCATTTAAATCTGATTTGTCTTCTGTTAACCCATTCAAATCTATTTCTTTTTCTGCTGATTCTAAATTGTCTTGACCTGCATTTCGTTTACAAATCAATGCATTGTAAGTACAGACTAGTTTCATAACATTTCTGATCTTTTGTTTTTTTTTTTCTTATTAACAAACAATTTCTTGTCAATTTCACTATTGGCAATTTCACATTGTGTGTATAAAGATTGCCACAAAACAGCATCTGAATAGCTGCTATTACATGCAAACTGCAATTTACTTTTCTCTGCGATATCATTTATAAATTCCACAATTCATTTGTTCCAACAAAATCTAACTTTCCTTATTCCAACATGCCAATAACCTCTTGCTTAACAACATATACAAGATTACACAAAGTTCCTAACTAGGTTATTCGTCCAGCAAATATACCTTGTTTCCCTCACATTCCTCACTGAGTTTACAAGCATTTCACCCATTCACCCCACCCCCCTGTAGCCAATACTCATAGCAGTCAGAGCAAGAGAAAGCAACAAAGAAGGAGGGGGGAGGAGGGAGGAAGACTTGCAAGCACAAAGTTTTTTAACCATGTGATTGCCTAAGCACAGCTCTCCTTAGGACAAAAGATAGAATAGGAGAGTAACGATACAAATTGTATAGATTACAATTAACATATATGGTACCCAACAAGACATACAGAGACAAAAGCACAAAATACAGATGTAATTAAATCACAAAGTTCTTAAAATAAATGCCGGCTTATAATAAATCAAATCACACACACAGAAACACTCAAGCACATAAACCGCTCCTTTACCGAAGCTTAGCTATTTAAACTCTTGACCGAGTCTTAA